GGGGTAACATCTACCTCCAAATTGCACCCCTACTCACCTTCCTCGCCCAGCAGCATGGCCATAGCGTTAAGTTTAGAGAGCCGGCGGAACCTAACTTGCGAGATTTGTTTCAAATCAGGGCTGGCTGAGCGGGCAAAGCATTTTCCGTCTTAGGCAGGTGAAACCATCGGAAGGGAGCGGATTTTTCTTTCCGTTTCCGCGTTGGACAGGTTTCCGTTTTATACAGTTAATTAAAGAGGAATATATCAAGGGGGGAGCGGGGAGATTCCGTTAAGACAGGTTTCTGTTTTATACAGGTTTCCGTAAGGCAGGTTCGACTGTACATTCCTTAAATTCGTACAAGGAAAACATCGGAAGTAATACCAATACCGGGTACCAAAAACGGAGTGTTAATTCGTCACTCCAGTACAATCGCGGTCCAGTTAGGTCTAGCACTAGATCTAGATCTAGAGTCTAAATTAGACAAGCTGACTACTGGATATCAATAGGCCCTACTGATTTAAATATTCGGTATCGATGTTTTATCACAGTAGATCTAGATCTAGCCTACAAAATGAGCAGTAAAATTTGACCATAATTTGATGTTTTGTAGTTAGGTTTGATTGAGAGTAATCGTTTAGAACCAGAAGTAATCGTTGGTGGGGTCATAACGAGTGTCCCTAAACGGGACCGCAATTGTGCAGAGGAGTTTCTCTACTATTCTCAAGCATTTTTTTCGTTTCATTCTGCCCTTTTTATTTAGTTTCGGGCATCATAGGACCCCTGTCACTGAGCACTGTAGGCGACAAAACTCTCCTCCCTCTCTCACTCCACTGAGCGCGCGAGGCGACTACAATCGCCAACGGGCGGGCCAGCTCTCGTGCGCGGGAGGCGACTATTGTCGATTTGGGGGAAAACTTTATCTTTTGAGCAAGTAGCGTCACCTTTTGTTGGTTTTTATTGGTTTTGTAGGCCTAATGTAATATTTTACTCTCGAATGGTTTAACCAATCAAAGTTAAGGAAAATATAAGCCTAGGGTCAAGGCACTTCATGCCTTACTTGAAAATAGCAGAGAGAGAGAGAGAGCGAGAGAGAGAGAATATTTTACGGAGCAGGTTGTTCCAGCACGTCAGACATGTATACTAATTATATACTAATGTCCTGTCTTGTTGTGCGTATGCGCGAGTGCACCTAACCTTTGTAACGTCTATTGCTATTGTTGACGACCAAGGCAAATTTCTCCCTGCGAGATGAATAAAGATTTTCTTTGTCATCGTCATTTTTGACACTGTCACATCCAAAGAAGACCCACAAGAATAACAAAATAGAAAGCAGATAGTAACCAAAAACTAATAAGTAAAATTTGTACAAAATAAATACAACAACCCCCCCCCCCCCCACACACACACACACACACGCACTCACACACGCACGCGCACACACACACACACACACACACACACACACACACACACACACACACACACACATACTTGCAGTGTCTTTCTGCCATAATACACATTTCATACTCTTTCTCTTGGGGCCCTGACAGATACATTCTAGGTTGACCAAGTTGAAGCATCCAGCCTCACAACTGATCTCTATGTCAGTTGTGTCGAAAATTATAAACAGAAATTTTTTTTATTGAGTTAGCAAGTAGTTCATATTTGATGGTGTTTGTTTATTTTCTAGTGACTGTTTAGGTGAGTTTTGACTTTGACAACATATAATTTTAAACATTTGTTCTGCTTGTCATTGTAGTTAACAAATGTGAAGTTGACCGTCTGATTTTTCTTTTTCTTTTGGGTCAGACATCAGCCACTGTGGCATCGTTTGCCACTCACTTCTGCTTGGATGCTGTCAAAAAACTTTTGTATTATTTTGTATTATTCTTGTTAAAGAAAAATAATTCTTTAAAAAATTACATTATAGTCCTGATTTATTAACAATTTATTTTATTTGCCGTTCCTTTGAATTTGCAGATTGAAGGATGACTTTCACGATGCAAATGATCTCCCGTCAAAGAGTGCTAATCTTCTCCCAGAGTTTACCAGTCCTGCATGGATGCTGGAGCAGGTAAGTAATACATTTTTTCCCCCTTGGTGTGCAGATCGGATAAATCTCTCCTTGATATTCTTTTTGTTTTTGTTAGAATTTATGTTCTTTACTTTATTATCAGTACAGTACTTACTTGTATTTTAAGTTAGTGTTAAAGAAAAACAATTGCACCTTGTATTGCTTGAGGTGCAAGTATGATAACAACTTCTGATGTACTCTGAAAAGAAATAGATGATTCGTTGTGAGATGATAAAGAGAGGTAATAACCAAGAAGAAATTTTCTGGCAGCTATTGATTGTTTCCAGTGTAAAGATTTAGTGCAAGTAATATATCAGATATTTGTAAGTATATTATATTGTATGATTTTTTGGATACCAAAGTTTTAGCTCCGAGAACTCTACAGAGCAGTATTGGTTTTCAAACATTTTGATCTTTCTGTATATATTCTGTCTGTGAACTAAATGCAGATTCTGCCATGTATTTTTGTCTTTTTCCTAAAGGGATGGTCTCTGGACAGTTGCATTGATGAGAAATCCAAAGCAACCATTGAGAAAATGCTTCTTGAAGAGCAGTATCCTTTCTTTAAAGAGTACAGAGAACACAAGTTATGACATTCAGGTCATGTTTGTAGATATATATCTGCCAAAACGTGAGACTCTCTTGAGACTCAGTGGTGCAAACAAATTTTTCTTACCAATTTGACTCTCTTTTCTGTCAGTCACAGATTGACATTTAGTACTCATATTCCTAGAGTATCAGAGCAAGGAGGTGTAGGGTTTTGGAGATATGGGTCTATTGGTTTGGCAACTACTGTATTTCTTGTATGTAACAGTGATGACAAAAACAGATAAGCAGCAAGGCAAATTATAGACTTTAAATTCCATTTGTTTAGTAAACAAAGACTTTGTACACTATGAACTCCATTCATAATGATAATATGAATGACAAGCTTTGTAACAATGACGCAGTGCACAGAACATGTCATCATTGTTATGTACAAGAAAGGATACACATTGGACATTATCATTGACAACACATCACAATAGTGAAAGGCTGTACAAATACAGTTATCAAAGCCTCAGTACCAGAAAAACACATGTGTAAAACAATTTTTAAACTAATATGAAGCAAAAGCACAAAATCAATGGAGCTGACTTGTACATAACAGTGATGACAAACATGACTTGTACATAACAATGATGACACAATGTACAGGAAAAGACAAAGTCATGCCTCCAGAGAGAAATGCACACGTTAAGAATTTTAAAAAAAACCAAGAGAGGTTTCTTTTGCTTTGAAACAGATATCAGGTCATATCAAAGACAGTGGACGATCACAATTATGTTGCTAATTATGACAAAGATGACAAAACATACTGGGAAAAGGTAAAATTATACCTACAAAGAACAAATTTGCACTAAGAGATACACAGATCAATAAAGGCGTATTTTGCTTCTAAATGAATCTTTCATGTATGAAATATATGTTGAAAACTTATTGATATTAGCAATGATGACAAATATTACTTGTACATAACAATGATGACACAATGACACAATGTATTGGAAAAAGGTATATCATACCAACAAAGAACAAATGTGTATTTTTGAGTTAGACAGATAAACAAGGACATGTTTGTTTATTTGTTTGAGTAAAGAGAGCACACATTACTTTAAAAATGTTTGCTCTTAGGACAATGTAATTTCTAGTATATCAGTCAGTCTTGTACGGCTGCATGACGACACCCCAAACTTCATCACTAAGCACAAAAGCTAAATCTATAACCACAGAAATGATCCATCTCTCGAAGTTTGTTCACACATCACACTCTTGTTCCAGGAATCCAGTGTAAACACCGCAATTTCACTAAAATATTCAACAGAGTAGCCTAAAAACACACAAAACAGTCCAGTACGTCACATTCAACGCAAGATTCTAGTGCGTCACCGGACGCTGAAGGCAATGACTACTTTCGTTTTTCTGTTTCCCCCGTTGCTTCCGTTGTTCTGGGGAAGCGGGTAAGGGGAAGTCACTCAAGAGAACAATTATATCCGGGCACTGTTGATAACCTGTTCAAAACAAAAGTGGGCGAAATTCGGACTTCCGGCACGTCGCAAGGTGACGACATTCACTGCGAATGTTAAACAGCTGACCGAAATCGTAGATCTAGGAACCCGATGTTCCTTTCGCGCATCGCAGCTTTTTAAGTATTGAATAAACAACGAAAAGCAAAAAGATTTAACCAGCTGTGGTGATTCTACTGAAAAATATTGGTGTTTTCTGAAACACCTAGTCCGTGACGACACGGCTGATGCACAAGTGATCCGAATTGTTCGTTTATTTGCCAACAAATAAACCACTATCTTGAGCAAGTTTACCTTTCTCGATGACAAATAGCATAGGATCAGAGCACACGTAAAAAAAAACCCACCCAAAAATACTAAATTTTGGACATTCTTGGAAGTTTGCATTGATGTGCTCAAAATGACACTCCAGGAATCACTAAAAAATGAACATTTTTGGCACAAAATTTACAAACTCAAGATTGTAAAGCTGACATGAGGTCTGAAACTGCTAATGCAGGTTCTACATCCTATATTTGACCTGTGTATAAGTTTTGGAGGAATAAATACTAATGCATCACATTTTATGCACACTAATGTGAGATGTGTGTATTTTTCCCCACGTTTTGGCAATGGCTCATATATATATGTTATCCAAGTTATTTTTGTTGGGCTTTTTTTCTTTGGAGGGGGGGGGGGTTGCACATATATAGAGTCAATTTAGTCACACACATAACCCTTCTTTGCTTTATATGGGTGTGAATATGCAACAAAATAGCCTTCTTTCATAGATGATAGATACAAAAGCAGTTATTTAGCAATGCCAATCGAGCTTGAGTGCGTGGCGAAATGTTGGTCCCTGTTTGCAGGTTTATTTTAGGACCGGGTCGGAATGTAGGTGATTAACTTTCTCAAACCTCAGTCGGGTCTATTTCTGGACCAATGTAAATGAAACTTGGCAACCAATGAAAAAATAAGGCAAACTAATGATAAGTGGACGTTTGAACACTTAAAATAACCTATATTTTTGGTGTTGGAAACTCTTTCGTATCGGGTTTGCCCTAAATTGTAAGGAGCTTGATTATCAACGTCGAGAAGGTAAGCGATCTATCTTTCCTCTATAGTGTCCTCAAATTTGAAAGTTCTATGTCAAGCAGTTGTTTAGAATTTATCATAAATGTATCACGAACCCCTTGTCCAAAGCGGCTTTGCAGGGAGACCGGCCATTTTTCTGCACTCCCTCAGCAAATATATGTGACTTACAAATCCTGACATGATTATTCCGAGCCCATTTATTGGTCACTTGAAATAGGGCAATGGCGAGTGCGCGCATCCGGTTGTTTTTCTCTCTGTTCCCCTGTAACATCGTAATGGGCTTGTTTGTGTAACAGCGGAAAAAAAGAAAGCCTTTTAATTTTATGGCATGCTAGATTGAAGTGAATTATATTTTATGGTTGGCATGGTCTAAAGTCATCAAAGAGAGTTTTTCCATTATTTAGTCATGTTGCCAACATATTTTTAAAAATCCCATGATGTGATATGATGCTATAGATAAAAATACTCTCATCACCACACCCCTCTTTCTCAAAATCGTAATATGTACTCGCAAATTTTTATTCTAACATAATAAGTACAAAATGGTAAGTAAATCTGACAGCATGATTTCTTTACCCGAAAACACATTGAGTAGCCAACTTTTTAAAAAAATGCTCCAATTAATTACTGAGATGTCATCAATTTTCTCACAGAATGTATTGTTACATGGTCCATTTTTTTAGAGTATTTTCCTATTTGTGGGCCATCTGTGTTTTTTTTACGCACTTTATAACCCCATAACTTTTTAAAATTTAAGAACCAATTTTTTAAATTAAAAAAGCATAAATGCTTGGAATAGTAAAACCTTTCTCAGGTACCGAATGAAAAAGGGGGTTAAATTGAAAAATCAATTTTTCATTGACATTGTTAAGTTATTTATTTTAGACTCAAATTACAGATTCCACTCAACTCATTTGCATATCTGACCTACTTTTGATGTTTCTATGAATAGAAACAAACAGCAGTTTTTGAATAATATTGCCAGACGATCTTCCATTTGGCTCTCAGACATAGTCATTTAAGAGCCTGGATTTAAATGTCCTGGGGGTACATAATTTAAAGCTTTTATTGGTGAATATTTAGTTTTATGGAGCTTTCTTTATAAAAATGGAATTCAAAATGGTGGACTGATGGGAATGACTTAAGCAAATGTAACACTCCCTTTAGTATGACAAAAACAACCTTTTTACCCCAATATTTTTGGTAGTTCACCAGAACCAAGTCTGCAGAAACACCTAATAAATGGGTAAATTTGATAAAAATATAAGATTTGTAACTTCCCAAAGTCATCGCACATTTTGGGGGGTTTTGCCCAGCGGGCAGGCTGAGTCTTTGATATAACACGTTCTTTGACTGGTTGGGATTATGGTTAACGTTTCTCAGAGCTTTGTGCGTCCATGAGAAGCTGTGTTATAACATGCTTTCATGCCATCAAAAGTCAAAACTCACAAAACTGTTAACGGATCGGTGGTTTAGTGGTTATGCTGTTGGGCTCGTAACCAAAAGGTTTTGGGTTGGAGCCCCATCAGTGACCGGACATCGTGTCTTTGGAAAAAAAGACACTTTAAACAGATTTTCCTCACTTTACCAAGGTATGAATGGTTACCCGCCTTAAGAGAGCTAAAGATCTTTTCAGTTGTTAGTGTTATATCAGTTGCTTGCACTGTATGCCTCATGAGAAGCTGACAATGTTTTTGAGTGTTTTTTTTAAGCATCTGCTGGGGTAATAATAGCAGTAAAATCCATTTCAGATGTTGAGCTTAGATGTGTCCTATATGAATGCAATTATTAATTTTGCATCAGTGGTCTAGTGGTTAAGCTGTTGAGCTCATAACTGAAAGGTTGTGCATTCGAACCTTGTCCTTTACACAAATTTTCCTCTTTTCACCCAGGTGGGAATGGGCAACTGGCTATAGACAGCAAAAGATCTTGTTTGTGTTTGAATGCTTAATTGGCTGCTTGCACTGTATGTTTCCCATGAAGCTGAAAATGTTTCTGAATGTACAAGAGTCTGCTGGGGGTAATAATATAGATTGTTAAGCACCCAGAGTGTGCAGTTAGGCGGGATGTATATATAAACTGTACAAATGCCATTTATTGTTATATGATATAAAAGTTGCATCTCATTTAGTTGGGAAGAAAATGCTATTATTGAGTGAGTAAAGAAATATGGGAGTCCAGTTCAGGTTAGTGATATAAAAGGTGTTTTTCATATAAATTAAATGAGAAACTGATGGATCTATTTTTTTTGCATGGGAGTGTTTCAAATATTTTAGTTGTTTTTTGTTGTTGTTGGTTGTTGGTTGTTGTTTTTTTTGAGTATGTGGTTGTTCTGATTATGTTAACAAAGTCACTTGTTATGAACCTTTAACCTTATGAACAGACATTACATGGGTGGATATAAAACTTCAAGATATATTAAAAAGAAGCCTTCAGGGAATAGTCGGAGTTCTAAACCCAGACAGGACGCCTCTTGTTCGAAAAGAAGTACTTCTGGCAAGGAATCAGTAAGTACCTAGCAATAAACATACCTGCAGGGCAGTGCTACTGACTGAAATGTCTTTAGGCCATTCCCAAAGGGGGACATTAACCATGTTCTTATGCACAGTAGAATTGTAATTTTGCAAATGGGCTGATTCATCAATGTCATGCTCATAACTGTGCTTGAACTGCAACAGGAAACTGCTGCTTTTTCTTTCCTAATCCTTACTATCGTCATTTTTCCTCTACTTGTTTTGTATGTTTGTCACACTCTTGTGACCCGCTATTTCCAGGGTGCCTTGATAGTCGAAGCAGACTTTTTGCTGTTGAAGCTAGAGAGGTGAGCAGAGTAAGCCTGATTCCCTGTAAAGACTTCTGTGTTGACATCCACCCCTTGGCACTCATATGACTTTATGCAGTTGCGAGTGCCGTAAAACCTCTACGTGGATGGTTGGCGGGTGCTCTGGTGTGGTTTGCTTCTTCTTTCCTGTCAAACATCTATCGTCCTTATCTCCCCTCTTTTTTTTGTGTGTTTGTTACTCTCTTGTAACACCTCTAATCTTTGGCACTTATATGACCTTATTGTGTTGCAAGTGCTATAAAACACTTTCTAAAACTAAAAACCCCTACTAAAACTAAAGCGGAAATTCTGTTTTTAAATAGGATGCATTTTAAATTTTGAACTGAGTTCAAGATCTATACGCATAGCAACTTTTTCAGGCCTCTTAGGGAGATATCCTTTTTAACCTGGCCTTGACTTAGGTGTACAAATGGCACATTGCTTTGTACATTCATTTGCAGAACTGGTTGCAAACTTTCATACAGTCAAAAGGCACGTCTCACAAAGAGGGCTATGATGACCATGATTCAAAGTGGAAAATTTTTGCAGATACATTTTTGCTTTGTGCCCGAATTGTATGACGGCCATCCATTATAGAGGAAAAAGGTGATTGTCTTACACAGTGTCATTATGATGTATGAATTACACAAGGGGTGAAATGGAAAGTGGCCGTTTATGCAGGTGATTGTTTTACAGGTGGCTGTTAGGGCAGATTCAACTGTAGATGGAATATTAATGTGATGAAATTATTAATGTTCAGTTAAAATGGAAAAATGATGTCTGTATTGCTTTGGTATTGTAGTTTACTGGAATGGGGCTTTATACTTGAAGGGATTTTTTTTTGGGGGGGGGAGGGAGAAAATGAAAGCGAGTGAAGGCTGAATTTGGAGTCCGATTAGACATGACTGACAGCTTAGCTCCTCACTTAGTTGCAGAGCTTCTTTGTTATTACCATAATCTTAATTCCCTGAAAGTCAGAAGACAGATTAATAGTGTAAGTAATTTACTTTTTCTCGAGGATGAAATTTAGCGCTATTATTATTTACTTTTATGTTAAAAGGGACTGTTTTGGGCTCTTTGGATGAATTTATTTCTGCTATTAAAAAATTGTTATTGGAGAATAGAATCATTCTTTTTCCAGGTTGTCAGATAGATAAATAATGTCAGTTTCTTTGTAAATTATTGTAAAAATTCATGTTGTATTTCTGCACTGATCATGTAATAATATTGACTTGCTTTCAGAAGAAAAAGAAAGCACCATTGATCCCTCAGACAGCCTTGACTTCTGACTCATGTACAGAGTTGCAATTTCAGCAAGTTCATAGCCAGTCTATTGCTGATACTCTATCCAGCGTGACCACAGGACAACCCACAGTGATCATGCCTGCTGAATCCAAACGTAAAGCTAGAGGGAAAACCAAAACTGTTGAAGATAGTTCAGTTGCATTTACATTGCACTCCAAAGGAAAGTTTGCTCAACATAAAAAGCCCAAGTTGAAAATGTCAAAGTCACTTTTGAACAAATCGAGAAAGAAAGTTCAGAAGTCAAATCTACATTTGCTTACCTCGAAGAAAACTCAACAGGAGGCCATTGTGAACCCCGGAGAGTCCAGTATGAACTTTAATATGTTTCCCGTGAAAAGTGGTTCAAGTCTAAAGATGCTGTTTGGTGACACTGATTCTGTCATGGAACCACCACAGAGTTTTCCTGTCATGGATGGCAGTTCTGTTATTTTATCAGAGGTAAAGTGTGTGGAAAAGGAAAATGAAGTCGAAGAGGATGTTGATGTTGAAAATGATTTTGAAGAGGATCCTTTTCTTCCGAACCGCCAAACATTGCCAGATGCTATTTATGAGCATTTGCTCCAGTCGTCGGATTTGAACCAGTCAGATTTGAGCCAGTCAGCCTTCTCAGAAATACAGCCGGAGACAGAGACACTTCTAGAAACTGCCAGCGGCGAAGTTGCTACGACAGTGTGCACTGGTAACGAGAACTGTGAAAGCAATGACAGCAGCACAGATGATGAAAAGAAAGATACAGAAAGAGACAATACTGTGAATGTGATGAAGGATGACTCTCCTTTCATGCAGTTGGAAGAAAATGATGGTGTTGCTGGTTTAACTGCCAAAGTAGCTGGTGAGTAATGTTATAATGAATGTAACCAGGATGCTTAGACTTTAGTGATGAGAAGAATATGGGTGAAGTTTCCACAACATCACTTTTTTAAACATGATTTTGTGTCTCTTGGCTGGAAGGGTTCCTACACCTTTGACAACAGCTTGGCTTAGTACTTAATGTCATCAGGTCAGCTCAGTTTATAATGAGTTTACACATGAGTACTGTTTTCTTATCAAGTTGTTTTTTCTAACCGACATTTGAAACAACAGATGTGAGGCATCATGGTGAAATCAGGCGTTCGTCAAAATAATGAAATCGAAGAAAACAGCATTTTTCTGTCCATTTTGCAATTTTTATTGAATTTTTGGTTTTTGACTCAACACCTTTAAGGCCCATTTAAAAACATTTGTGTGTGGATTTCACTGAAAAATGTTGATTAAGGGCACAAGAATATAAATTTGTAGTTTCTAAGAACTCTCAAGCTTTGTAAGTCGCCAAACTTTGGCGGCCATTTTCTTGCTAATTTTGCCTCTGAAACCAGGCGACCCCCACCTCCTTCAGTAGCGAATATCTCGACTTGATATCTGAGTATCTTTTTCGCAGAAAGCAAGACAAATAAACTAGCTTTAAAATGATGATACCAATAAATCAACATGTCCAAAAATTGACGAGCGCCTGTTTCTACTGCGTTATGACACATATATTTACCTCCCTGTCCCACAAAGTTCAACAACAAATTTATGGACAAAAAGCTCAAAGTGTCTGTGTTAGGCACATGATAGTGTAGAAATGAAGCATTCTGTCACGTAAGTAGATATGCCTGTGGCTCAAATCACCAAATTCTTCATTTTCATTGTTTGGCTGAACAAATCACAGTGAGACATGTTCAACTTCAAGAACATCTTATACAATAGTCTGAGCAAGTTAAAATATTTTCCTCTATTTGAGTCTTCAACCCAAACTTTCATTGTCATTAGTGTGTGAAATGATGCTTACAATGAATACCTCCTCATTATTCTTTAGAGTTGACAAGTACGAAAAGCAGAAACAATTTAAGAAGCCATGCCAAAGCTGTGGCTTGTAGTTGAATACATGACTGCAATTACAAGATACACTTAGTAGAGAATGTGGCATGAACAAACATTTCTCAATCTCTGTTGTAATGACACTTTAGCTGTCTTTAATAAGGAGTTCAGAAATATTGTTTGTATGTTCTCTAGGTAAACATTTACTAATAAGACAGAGCCCTGAAATAGCCAACAGGGCATCAAGGACAAATGTGTTTTTTATTTCAGTTCCCTTCTATAAATATAAATTTATTTTGTGATTACTATCGAACAAATAGGATGGAAGGCGCTGTTCTGATCTAGGCTTGAGAAACTACAAGCTGGTGTAAATAGATCCTAGCAGTATTGCATAGCTAAAGTTAAAAATCTTTATTTTTTTGTTCACGGCTGTCCTTGTCTTTTTTTTCGTTTGTTCTTCTTGCTAAAACCCTTTCAACTTTCCTTTTTAATCTTCTGTAGGCAAAGAACAAGAAATGGGTGGATCTAATCTTCCAGAGCTTATCATGAAAGTTCCTCTGGAGGAGAAAGTTTTACCTCCTGACAGAGTCACAGAGGAGGAGAAGACTGTTCACAGAGATTTCTTTGATGGTCGTCCCCCAAAAACTCCAGAAAGATACTTAAAAATCAGAAATTATATCATTGAATGTTGGTAAGTACAGTGGTCTCTTCCTTCATAATGGACTATGCATGGAAGAAAGGGAGAGGAGAAGGGGTGGGGGGAAGTCATCAACGTGTTTTTTTCCCTAATTTTCTTCAAGATTTATTCTTTACTGGAAGATTTATAGGTTCGAGGATTTGAAGTGATATGTTGATATGTAACTTGTCCATGACAGTCATGACTCCCGGCCTGATGTTCGCTGACTGAAAAAAGAATTTTGCTTTAATTGGATGTTATGTCTAATTCTTTGTTTTTGCCACTAGAATCTATGTCTTTGCTGCTCAACTAAGTTGACCAACCGTGATTTACATTGCTTTTAGCAGAAGAGTCTGCAGTTAAGTAGCTTAAATTATGATCTCTTATCAAGAACACTTTGGCTACCATTGTCAGAAGTGCAATTATTATAGGCTGCACTGAACTCTTTATAGATTTAGTGCATACAGTGAAAGTGGTCAATGCCACATAGTGTGATTTGAATGAACTGCTAATCAACTTTGTGCCAGTTTTTAAAATGATTTTTGGCATGTTGTGGGTGCATCCCTTTTCATAGTTTACATTGGAGGACAGCACAAAGAAAATGTTTTCGTAAGGAGACTGATTCACTTATTTGTAATTTGTTTCACAAAGCTACCAAATTACAATGGCTTTTATTGAAAAATTATAGCCCATATACATAGATTTTCAAGTAGTCAGAAAAATGGGTCCACTGTCATCAGAACCTTACCCCACATTGCCACACACATTATAATCAGTACTTCAGTTTCTGTCTTTTAGACCTAAAACACGATTTCTTGACTTCATAAGATGAATTCATTCTTTATTGCACTTTCTGTAAAAAATTGTCGTAGTTTTCTACTGTGGGATAGGCCAAAAGATTTTTTGATAAGGTGTTCTGTCTTGCACTTTCATTTTCTCTACATTCAAAAGGGGAAAAGGAGCGAAAAAAAAATCTTGGGGCTCAGATAGAGAGGTAAATGCAATAAGTTTGTTCTGGTAAGTTTTTACCTGTAGATTCCACAGTACATTGTTAATTAAAGTTAAAGACTTGAAAATACTTGTATAGATAAACCTGATTTTTGCCATAATACCTTTTTTTAAAATTAAAGGACAAAGAGCAAGCCATCATACTTAAACAAGACAAGAATAAGATCTGGTCTGAAGAACTGTGGAGACGTCAACTGCATTGGTCGTATACATTCTTATTTGGAATGTGTTGGAGCTATTAATTTTGGATGCGGTATGATATTTTATTTTCAAGCATTGTGTGTTCCTTGACACCTAAAATCTTTCACAGTATGTCTTCACAGCCCCTTAAACAGCAAAATCTATTTTACCATATAGCACACCTGGCATTAACCCCAAAGCAATTTATTTAATGAAATGCTGCTTTAACAAATAGTTTTAAGAAATTGAACTGGTGGTCAACTTGTTTTTTAAAAGAGTGCTTGAGGTTACATTGAAACAAAGTATAAATAGAAAATTCTATTTAGAAATCTGAATTCTTTTTATATCAATTTTATAACAAGTATTTATTGCCAAGAAACTGAAAAGGTTATCTTTCAGGTTACCTTCTAATCAGAGCAAATATAATATACCATTTATAACATATCCTCATAAAATGTTAATTATTTGTGGTGCTAGCATTTTTTCGCCTATTTCACATGTTTCTGTTAAATCCCTGTAATCAAATTTGTTCTCTTTGTTCATCTTGCAGTTTGTCATAAATGTGCTGAGATGTTTATTCTTTTTGTTCCCTCAGAGCAAGCTGTTTATCTTAACCCAGGGAAGACATCGTTAGTTGGGGCCAACAAGAAACAAAAGATGAAGAGAGAAGGGGAGTTAACACAAGATGATGTAAAGTCTGACCACAAAGTAAGCATGTTGTGAGGGTTTTTTTGTTGTTGTTTAAAAAAAAAATGTTGTTGAACCTTTTGACCCCTATCCCCCCCCTTGGTAAGCTTACAGGACCTGTGTACCTGAGCTTGGGTCAACTGCTGAATACACTGCCTGTCTCAGAGACATGAGTTGGCTGCTAGAAGGGTAAAGATAATGGGCCTTGTAGTGCTCGCTTGGATGTATGCTTGGATCCATCGGGTTACATTCAGATTACTGCTTTATCCATAAGCTGACTTGAAGGGTCGCTCTATAATGTATGTGTGTGCTTCTGATGTTTTGACATTCATTGGTGGGGGGGAAGATGTCTGTAGCCATCTTCATCAAACTCCACTTTTTTGTGTGTATCATTTGATGTTATGTTTTTGTGTAAATGCCATGATCCCTTTCTGCAATGAGAGTATATTTTTTTAAAAAGTTGAGGTGAAAACTATGCAGAGCGAGATGTTTCATGATATCCATTCTCCCCCCCCCCCCCCCCTAAAAAAAAAGAAAGTAGAATGGTTCGTCTTGACAGTCAGATACAACAAGTCAATCTTGTCATAGACTCTGCCATTGAGTGACAGGCTGTGACGTATGGGCAACATTGATGTGCTTGTCTGATAATCTTTTTTACTTATATAAATCATGTACTATAGCTTGTTCACTTTTGTTGGACCGTAGTTAAAACAAGATAAAATGAAATCGCTCTGTTTAATCTTCTCATACGTGTCTTAAAGTTAGATGACCAACAATCTAAAAGCCTATTCATAGAGGTCATGGCAAACTAAGATTCTAACATGTTTTCTTTGATGTAAGCTTTAAGTGGGTCCAAAAAATAGTATGGAATTTACAGCATACACTTAAAACATTTAAATGTTGACATATTTTCCTCAACACCACCCTCCAAAGTATGCCTTAGAAACTTTCAAGACTCACGTGGAGCACGTGGACACGTCTACACAGCCAGGGGATGAAATCTACAAGCTTACATTGAATTGAGGGGGCAGGGTGGTATCGCGGTCTCAAAATGAGCAATTTTTATGCAAGGTTACTTTTAGTCATTTATTTTAGTGATCCTGTGTATGCATTCAAAGAGTGGTTTATAATATAGGACCCAAAGTGAAAAACTTTTATTATTGGATCAAAATTTAAAAAAAAAATTTTGTTTGTTTGGTCGTTGGCCTGTAGAAGAGCCATGCAAAGTTTCGTTGGCATAGGTAAATTAATAAATGAGCAGAATTTTTTTCACGCAGTCAGACGAAAGTACACAAGCTACAGTGAATATAATTTATGTGGAAGTGTACATATATAAACACACACTGTTAAACGCTGCATGATTTTCAGTCTTGAGGTCAACATGGGGAGGTTCCTATGCTAAGTCTGGAAAGTGGTGTGTGATCACCTGCAAGGCAAAGTGCCTGTGCAGTGCACACATTTTAAGCCCCTCAGTTTAATAGAAGCATATAGTGAAATTACAACCAAAATGTTTTGTAGTTGGGACTGACACTTTTATTCATTTAATTTGAATACCCTTTCAGTGTCCTATTAGTTGGGTATAGATCAACGAGCCTTGTAAAAGACGTTGACTTTATAACACAGACATAATTCCATTACACATCTATTTCCAAAGACAGTCACATGGTAAAGTTGTGGACTTTGGTCCATTCTTAGTTGGCATTTATAAATGTAAAAATCCAAAATTTGATCTGCATTTTATTTAATTTTTTTTTTCAAGCTTCCAAGAAAACGAAGGAAAAAAGACGCTTACGGTGTTTGGGTTGATGCAAAGGAACTGGAAGGAAAAACAATTACGGTAAGTTTCAAAGAAATTCTGAGATTATTTGTTTCGAGCTAGATTTTTGTGATTCATAAAGCATGTTCCGGTCTATTAGACAATGTATAGTAATGTATGTGAGGGTGGACACATTTATTTTTGTGCTTGAGTGCACATGCACCACGGTTGTTCAACTCACCCGGAAACTGCTCCTTTAGTTGCTCCGTACCAGCGGTCAGTGCCATCCATGTGTTGGTCATTAAATCCGCTGTCAGCCGTGCTCACTACCGTGATGCCAGCGGCGCGTCCCTGCCTGCCCGCATAATGCATTTCCTTCGAATTATGGTGTCATTCCCACCCCGATATCTCCAGATCTAAAGATGTGATATCACCATATGACCCACCATTTTAAAGCCCAGCTTTCCCCCCTACAAGACGATATAACTTTGGTTGATCTCAGTTCACACCCTTGAATTTATTGAAATACGTTCTCCAAGACATGTTTCTATCGAAATCGGATTCCTTTTTCAGTGTTATTTGAATTTAAATGCCAATAACTTCGTAAAGGAACCATCACTTTCATTTCTTTTTTCAAAATCTAGTAAGGATAGGTATACTGTACAAATTGTGCAAGTTTCAACTTTGTGCCGTTTTTCTGTGATTTTTTTATTAATTAAAAAAAAATTATATAGATCTATACGTTCCCTAAGACGTGGTTCTATCGAGTCGGATCCTTTTTCAGTGTTCTTTGAATTTAAACGTCAATAACTTCGTAAATTCACCATCAGTTTCAATTCATTTTATAAATCTAGAGGTATAATGTACAAATGGTGTAAGTTTCAACTTTGTGTTGTTTTTCTGTGACTTTTTTCTTCTTTAATATGATGTAGACGTCTTTTGTTCAGCGTTCACAAGATTTTTTTTGTGTGTGTTTTGTTTCAAATCTAGATCTAGCATCTCTTAAAATGTAATTATAATGATATAGTGTGTTTACCAATATTGTGACAGTAGGCTTAAATGCAGTCATACGTGCTGACACCCTGACTGGTGATACCCGCAATCCTAGAGTGATACGTTTTTATCAAGAGTCGTCACATGTGACAGCTGGACTTGGGGAACTGAGGACATATAGCGAAAAGCTGCGAATCTCCACTCAAGACTTAATATCTTTGCTTTAGGCAACGACACAAAGATGCAGCCAAGTGATTTTGAAACTTTACTCAATTTCTGACCCAATACCGTAGAATTGTCAAAATCGACTGCAGCTATCATGTTCAAATTTAATGAAGTAAATCATGACCCTCTATCAATGTTTAAACATGTATCCACTTTTCTTTCTTCGTCATCTCGTATTTCTTCATCTTAATTAGTTGCAGGATTGCTCTAAGAAATATGTCAGATGATGCTTATTCAAAGTATACGGTTTTATTGACAGTTGGTGTTGTGGTTTGGGCTTAGTCGCAGGTTAAACAAAGCTGAAAACTGCTGCAATTGCATTTTCATCGCGAATCTGTCAGTCAGGTAAAATTCCCTGCGCTGACCTCTTGACCCGTTGGTAATGGCTGGTTCGAGTTACGCTGAGCGTCGGGGCGCTGCGAGGTGCCGGTAGAACTAAAGTACTGCTCGTGAACAGCCGTGCGACATATGTGCGAAAGTGTGGGAAATTGTATAGGGTAAATACCAATGCAACACTGTAAGGTTTTTAAGAGGCGGGACCTTCGAATTTAACGTCCATCTCCAACAGGATTGAGCCAAATGAGAAATTTGTGTAAAAGACCTCTTCCAAGAACACAACATCCGACTGAGCTGAGCCTCAAGCCTCTGTAGGGCAATCTCAAAATTACGAGTCCGGCAGCCTAGCCACTCGACTACTGACGCCTCATGCATCTTTCCAGATGGACAATGGGATGGTTTTTAAAGGAATTTATAGAGTTCTTGAGGACTGCCAGGAAAAAAATATGATTTAGTGTCTCATTGATTATTTTTACCATTTTGCAGCATGAAGTTCAAAGCAAATCGGATTCAAAGATTGTGAAGATGAAATCAAAGAAACCACAGTATGACCCATTCAAACTGGTGCCTTGCAAAGAGTTTTCAGATGAGTTCAAGGTAACTTACATTATTTTTTGTTATATATGGTCCTTGATTGATCGTATTGTAAATTTGGTTTTTATTGAAAATTCTTTCTCCTTTCGTCTCCATGTGTTTAGTGTAAAAAACATGGTTAAGATAGTGAATGCATTTAAATGAATTAGAAAGCTTATTATTTTTGCCTGTTGATATAGATTTAAGTTCATTCTGATCTTAAACAAAGTATAGTCAGTAGACAGTATGCACAGTTATTTCCCCAGCTTGTCTTATAAATGTGCAGATTGTATGTAGTTGTGTGTGTTGTCTTTGTCTTATCTCCTTGATTATGTCACAACAGGCCCCTTACTCTGTGGAAGTGTTGAGCACAGCCGTAGCTGTCATGGACATTCACTCTCACATCTCTAAAACGGAGGTCATCGGCATGCTTGGGGGGCACTTCAACTCTCACACAGAGTGCCTGACTATAAGCATAGCTGTGCCATGCAAAAGTATGAGCACTGGAATGCAGTGTGAAATGGATCCAGGTCAGTATTTTAACGAATGTTTTTTTTGGTGTGAATTGTGTTTGTTATTCAGCTGATCAAATCATGATATACATAATGAAGAGTCAACCAAGATGAAGTAAGGACAGTTCTTAAATTGATGACCTGATAAAATGTTGTTTATTAGCTATGATATAAAATGTGGAAGTGAAAGCTCCATGTATAATTTTATTGCATGATTTATTATTTGAATAAGAATTGATAGGTTTTCTTGTAAATCTTTGCAAGACGAAGGAGCAGTTATCTGTTCTCGTAGCCTCCACTGAAAGGAAAAGAATGACACAAAAAGAAAAATGAAAAAGGAGTTTTGAGGTAATGTGCACTGAGTAGGGAAGACAGGGGGGAATGGGATGGAAGCAAAAGTACTCTATGTCACAGTCTGTTCAGTGCCACATGGTGTCATAGTAATATGGTTTATCATTTTGGTTTTTCATATAACCTCTGTTTATTGATATTGTTTGAAATGCTTGATGTCCCCATTAGTTTGGGACAAATAAAATGTTAGCAGATAGGCAGAGAATGTGCCCCTCTTTGAGTGTTATCAGTGCAAAGCTAATTTTTCAACAAATTTCTTTGTACTTCAAAATAAGTTTATCATAGGTGGCATGAGCCTGATCAGGCTCTGTCTAAGTACACCGCAGAGATGTGTAGCTGTCAGTACTGTCAGACTGGGCTTATAGCTACTGTCTAAGACGTGTGCAGTTCTTACAGATATTCTTTTAATGCACCTTGTAAGAAGTTACGAATTTTATTATTTCTCACTTTAGTACAACCAGTATTTCCCGCTACAATTCCATTGACTTTTTAATAGGTTTATTATGAAGGAGCACTGTGGGGCTCTGAGTCCCTATACACCACAGAGATGTGAAGCTGGTGGTTCTGTCTGATTAAGCTTACCGGTACTCTTCAGAGCTAATATAGTTTATAAAATGTCTTTGTGTAGTTTATTTCAATGTACCTTGTAATCGCTTGTAAAAATGAAAGAACATAATTTTTTTTTTCTTTAGTTTCCCAAACCTTGGCCAATGAAAAAATTGAAGATGCTGGGATGTCTGTTGTGGGATGGTATCATTCTCATCCAACATTTCGGCCTGATCCCTCTGTGAGAGACATTGACACACAATTGAAGTTCCAGGTGAGGTGCCTGTCAGTGTTTCGTAAAGGCTGTGATGTTTACTTCTAATATCAGCAGTGTTTGAAATTGTGTTGTTTTATTTATTGACCTTCCTATATATGGAGCTGATCTTTTCTGGCACCAGTCCAGGACTGTCCATAATATCATGTTATCTGCCCTGCAAAACAGACCCCTTTTTTATGCGTAGACCCATTTTTATTGTTGTTCAGTTATTTTGGGACAATATCCCCTTCTCACACTTTTCTTTTGTCTTCATTTTGATAAACATGTCTTCTTACTGTGATAAAATATCAGTTCAAATGGCCTCACCTAGCACCACTTCAACATGTCACTTTTATGACACACTAGTCCAGCTCATTTGTTGAAACCCCTCTACCATGAAAAGTGGTGAAGGAATATATTATGTATTCTTTTGTGTTTGTTTCTTACCACATCATCATAGGAAGGTACACTTTAATTTCAAAGACATTCACGAAAAGATGGAGTCTTGGGCTGAAAAGTGCTCAAATTTTGAATGACTTTTTATTCTGGGTTTTGAGCAGTCCAAAGCAAATAAATAGATGCTAATGTATTTTAGCAGTATCTCTTGTGGCATGAGAAAACCTTTCATGCTGGGAACATTGTCAGATTTGTCAAACCCTGTTTGTCCATGAAGTAAAATTTCCCTCTTTGAATGTCACTACTTTGGTAGGCTATGTGTAACACCATCTTTTACTTTGCTTAAAAAATGAACACTCTTGATACTATCCTTTCCTAAGTCTTTATTTGTCACAGGAATCGTGACTCAAAAACAGTACCAGTATAGTAGCATTGAGAAAAAAAAGTTTTGTTTAAATGAAAGATTTTTCCATGCTGATCTAGTGAGGATACAGAAAGCATGACTATTTTTTAAAGAGATGGTATGCTTTTAAAGTAAGACTACAAGGAAAAGGATAAAGTCACTAAAAATTAAAAACAACTTTTGTATACAATTTTTTTACATTTACTCCACTGGAAGCTATGTCCCACTGAATGTATTTTTTCTTCTATTGATGTTGCTTCCCCAAAGCTTTCTAGATTTGAGCTGATGGACAGTGGGCACCACTAGTTGGTTCTGCCTCTTTTCTTTCTGTCTATCTTTGCTATTTCTCTATGCTAAATGACCATTTTTGTGTCAATATGCAAGGCATAACTTGAACAAACTATGAATATAGTAACACCAATTGTCAAAACTTCTTACCTCTCCCAGGACTGGTTTTCAAAGGGAGGGAACCATTTTGTGGGTGTTATCGTCAGTCCGTACAACCCTGGAAACATGTCCCTGACCTCGGATGTCCAGTGCCTCACTGTTAGTGACATTCACAGTGAAGAATATTTATCAAGTAAGTTTTGGATTATGGGAAAGGAAAGCAATTTAATTTCTTTTCCTCTTTTGTTAGCAGATTGTTGAAGGGCACCACTGGTAGGTCCTACTTTTCTTTCTCTTAAATGTTTTATCCATATGTTTTGCTTTTCCTTTGCAGTAAAAGACTGTTGTTGTGTAGTTCTACTTCAGTTTCTCAGACAAACAGTCACATCTCTGTTATTTTTGTCTGCCTTTTTCCTTGCACTAAATAATAGTCATAGTGTCAATGTGTTTCTCTGTACTCTGATATAAGTTCAGCTGGTTAGTTCAGAATGTTCAATAACAGGCCTAAACAATGTTCTTTATTGTTTTGCATTAGAACGGTGTTCAAGCATTACTATTTGAGCATCGTACTGTGGATGCTGTTTGGAAGCATCGTAGGGGGGAAAAACAACAACCAATTTTCAAGTTTGGAAATTTTGAGGCTTGTGATTTAGATGTGAGTACACGCACTTCCTGACTTTTGAACTGTCTTTTCTTCTACTTGAATTACACTACAGTTGATCCTCATTCTCTCCCCCCCCCCCCCCATCGCACCCTCTCTTTATAGATATATCTCTCCCTCTCTCCCTCTCTCTCTCCCCCCCCCCCCCCCCCCAACACACTCCACAAGCACTACCGAATGCCCATTGTTCATTCATTGTTTATTGTTTCAGGAAGTAGCATCCTTGCATTCCGGACATATCCAGTGGGTTGTTGGCGGGTGCTCTGGTGTGGTTTGCTTCTTCTTTCCTATCAAACATCTATCGTCATTATCTCCCCTCCTTCTTTTTTATGTTTGTCACTCTCTACTCTCTTGTAACACCTCTTATCTTCTGGCACTCATATGACCTTATGCAGTTTCGAACGGCGTAAAACCTCTACTAAAACGAACAAGGACATGTCCATTGATGCTCCGTTGCTCTCTCCAAAATGCCACTGAAGGTCTTTCTACTGATTGTGCATACAGGCACACAATACACTTTCCTAATTTCTTGTGGTTTGATTTCTCCACAGACATCCCGTTCAAGTTTGCCCATAAAATGATCTACAAGGACAATGTACATGACGTTTTGCAGCCTGCTCGTGAACTTGCAGACAAGTATTGTACATATTTCAACAGAGTGCGGCTCAACTCCCTCTATGTAGGGATGTCTTGTCTACACAAGGTGAGCCAAGTTTGGTTGATAAAAAGAGCTGTTTTGATTGTCCCTATGACTGCTTAAAAGATTAGTTCACTAAATTGCCAACAGAATGTCCCTCAGAGCTGGTGGTGTGCACTGTCATGACCCTTGATGTTTTACCAGGATTGTAAGTCTCCCTGCAATGGTTGAGAAATTCCTGTGATTATTTTAATATCTGAATATTTTTACTGGTCAATATTTTTTCATTTTTTCACTGATAAGGCAGAGGGGGGAACAACCAAATTGTTTGATTTTTACAGGATTGTCAGTTTTTGCTGTCTTTGTTGATGTCTGTTGTTGTAATTTGGCTCTTCTTTTGGCAGTATTACAAGTCTTCTAAGTCTGACTTTTCAGGGAGCTCTCATGGCCTAGAGGTTAAGGTGTTCATCTCTCATTCAATTGGTCTCAGGTTCAAATCCGGATAGCGACGGAAAATTTTCTTCTTTAAAATTTTCTCTTTTCACATCCTTTCCTACTCTCTAACAATGTTGTGTTGTCTGCTCTCGTCTCCACTTTCTGTCCCCACCCCCTCACCTCCTTTGACCCATCCTCTGGGCTCCTGACTCTTTTTGCAGCCTTTCTACTAGTACTCTTTGACTCCTTATTACTGCTGTCTTTCAGCCACACCTCTAATCGTATGGTAGGAAAGATCAAGAGGTCTTGTAAGTTCTTTCATCCCCTGTTGCCGTTAAGTGTCATGGGGAGATGCAGTTTTTGATGGTAGGCCAACTCCGCAGCTCTTTCAATTGTGATATTATGTTTTCTCAGGGTTTCCTTGACACCCTCGATCCACCATTTGTGTGGCTGTCCTCTTCCTTTATTGCCTGAGTGCTTGGTGTTGTTGGCTCTCGAGGCTGGCTGGCCAGGTGACGAAACCCATGAGGCTAAATGTTACTTTTTCCACACTGTCTTTGCACGTGAATATGATTAGAGGCTTATTTTAACTTGTCCACTCTGTCTTTGCTTGTGAATATAATGATTATCCCTACTTATTAAATAATGAAAACATGTGGTGTTATGATATACATAGTTTGTTTTTTTTTTAAAGAAAACTTATTTCTAATGTAGATTATCTTGTTTATATTTCATATCAGATGTTGCAGTCTGTGAAGCACCACCTCATCCCTTCATCTGCTTTATGCCCGTCTGAAGATGGTTTGAGTAGCGGAACCAGTCAAACTTGTCACCGAGGGGACTCTTTGAACTCTGAAACTTACAAGACAGAGTCTTTGGAACCATCTGGCTCTTTTAGTCTTCTCAGTTCAGGTTTAAGAAATGATTTCATGGATGTAAAAAGTTATAATGTGTTCAATCTTTTGGAGCAGTTGGAGTCTATGTTTGAACAAAAATTTGGTAGCCTGTGAAAGCAGAGGTGCTGGTAGCTTTGCCATTTTCATAGCAGTGGGTTGTTTGTCCAGTGCTCTCAGACTCTGTCTGTAAATGAGTGAGGAACTGCAAAAATTATTCACATGGGTCACACTATGAAAACTGAGATTTTTACTAATTTTATAATTATGCTGAAGCTTTCTCTGAGCAATTAGCTTTTTATTTGGGGGTTTTCATCTCTTTTACAGAAAAAGGAAAAACAAATCTATCTATCTATCTATCTATCTATCTATCTATCTATCTATCTATCTATCTATC